GTTTGGATGTGTCTATGGAGGTTCCATGACTTTGCCTTGTACAAGTTGTGCTGGCTTCCCCAGTATTGTGTACTGTCTTACCCTTTACCAAAGTTACCACTTACCTATTGTCTATTTAGTGTTTTTCCATCCTTGCCCTTCCCCTCTCTCATAACCATCAAAGATTCTTTTTGTTGCTCACAGCTTTTAAGACCCTAGATGCTACTCACGTAAGTAGGATGTGGAACATTTTCTCTATGAACTATGTTATGCCAATTGACCTAAATGTCCCCTGAGACCATGGTCTCCAGCCCTCAGCCCCAGTAACTTGGTGCCTCAAGGTGTTTGGATGTGTCTAGGAAGCTTCTATGACTTTACCTTGATCAAGTTGTGCTGACTTCCCCTATATTGTGTATTGTCTTTCCCTTCACCAAAGTTAACCCTTGTCTACTATCTAGTTAGTGATTTCCCCTCACCACCCCTCCCGTCCCTTATAACTACCAAAGTTTTTTTTTTTGTTTTCTGCGTATAAACCTTTTCTTGAGTTTTTACAGTAGTGGTCTCATACAATATTTGTTGTGAGATGTTTCTCAGATTCATCATTGTTCTTTATTGTTGCATAGTATTCCATTGTATGTACATACCATGTTTATCCACTCATTTGTTGATAAACACTTAGGTTGTTTCTATCTTTTTGCTATTGTGAATAATGCTGCAGTGAACATGTGTGTACATATGTCCATACATGTGATGGCTCTTATTTCTCTAGGACATATTCCTAGGAGTGGGATTGCTGGATCATATGGTATTTCTATTTCTAGCTTTTTAAGGAGGTGCCATATTGTTTTCCATAGTGGTTGTACCATTTTACACACCCACCAGCAGTGCATAATAATTCCAATCTCCCCATAATCTCTCCAACATTTTTTTTTTTTAATTACTGACAGTAATGTCAGGGTGAGGGATTGCAATTTTTAATCAGGTGGTCAAGATCTGACTGAGAATGTGACATTTAAGCAAAGACCTGAAAGGCATGAGGGCAAACCACGTGGATATCCGGGAGTACAGCGTCCCAGGAAGAGGGAATACCAAGTGCAAAGGCACTAAAATGGGCGTATGCTGGATTATGGTTGGTTTTTAAGAAGAACCACAACAGACCCACGTGGCTGGAGTAGAGTAAGAAAGGGGAAGAATAACCTTGTTCATTCTGGTATCCGTAGGGTTTAGCACTGTGTCTAAAACATATTAGGAATTAACATATTTATGATGAGTTAATATTTCGGTGGTACTGTAAAAAAATGGTAGCAGTATTTCATAAAAACCAAATTGTACTAAGTCCAGTCCAGTAAACTTTAAAAATAATTTTATTTTTGTTATTGAGAATATGCACAGCAAAATATACACCAACTGAAGTTTCTGTATGTACAAGTCAGTGACAATGATTACATTTTTTGAGTTGTGCAACAATTCACACCCTCCTTTTCTGAGTTGTTCCTCCCCCATTAACAAAAACTCACTGCTCCCTAAGGTTCATATCTAATCCTTCATGTTGCTGTTGTCAATTTGATCCCATATAGATAGATCTTAAAAGAACATAATGCTTGAGGCAGATGTCTTAGGCTGGGTTCTCTAGAGAAGCAAACCCAGTAAAGTGTATAAATATGTATATAGATTTACATCAAAGAAATGGCTTATGTGATTGAAGAGGCTGGAACGTCCCAAGTCCGTGGATCGGGACAGAGGCTTCTCTTGATTTACGTAGCGACAGGGGCTGGTGAACCCAAGATAGGCAGGTCAGAGAGCAGGGCTCTTGCTCACAGGCTGTGAAGATTAAGGAATCCCAAGATCGGCAGATAAGCTGATAGCTTAAGTCCCAAGAACCGGAGGTCAGATGAACAGGAGGCAGCCGCAGGAACCAGAGTGAGCAAAAAAAGCCAGAACATCTGCTTATATTTGGATGAAGGCCATACTCCCAAGGAAACTTCTTTTCAACTGACTGGCTACTCACAGCAGATTCCATCATGGGAGTGATCACATATAAACACTGAGAATCATGGCCCAGCCAAGTTGACACACAATCTTAACTATCACAGCAGACATTCTTTACTAGTTAAGCTAAACTATTGTTTGCTTTTAAGAAGATTTTGGGGGATATTTTTGGTTTAAGGTTTAAAGATTATCTCAGGGCAGTAGTTTCTGGGATTCATCCAGCCTCCACAGCTCCAGAAAATCTAGATTTCATGAGAATTTGAAATTCTGTTTTGCATTTTCCCCTTTTTGATCAGGACAGTCCAGTTACTTTCTTAACAATGAAAATATTTTGTCTGCTTGCCCTGATTTTGATTTTACCATTGAAGCAGGTATTACTTTCATTAATTCAGATTTTAGGTCAGTTCCAGATGTCACGTCGGAGGATTCCACAACAGCATTCACATCTTCTTCTCTTCACACTTCTGTTAAAGTGTTTACAAAGATCTGTAGCCTATAGTGTATATATAAACAGTAGGAAATGCCAGCAAGCATTGTTGGACAGTATTTGAATAATGAAGCATTCAGTTTTTCTAATAAGGTTAAAAGCACTACACAGATTCACTGAAAGAAACTGCTAGTTTAAAGACCTCTTTTGCTTTCAAAACTTGTTATTTCTTAGAACACCACTCATAGAATTTGTATAAAGTGTAGTATACATATAAACTTATTAATACTTATTTCATGTGCAAGAATGACTCATTGTTAGCAGCAGAGGTACCCCTGAACACACATGTACAACACTGCAACCACTAAAAGCAAGACTGATTAGATCTTGACCACTTCTCTCCTGCCTGCTACTTTCCTTGGTTAAGATTCCATGTGTCAGCATTTCCTGCTCTTGCTTTTGACTTGTCATGGTTTCCTTTGGATCAATAACCTCTGTTTATTGTTAAGCTTTAATTCTCACAGGAGAATTATAATACTTTCTACTGGTTTCCTGAGTTCTCAGCTGATTTTTCTTCACATTCGAAAAGACATTTCCCAAGAAATACTGGGAAGGAATTCCTGCGTGGAAACATTAATTGTAAAAAATCTATCAAAGTCACCAGACTCTGAGATTTTTAGGTTTTAATAGAATCTTCAAGAGATCAAATGTTCTCAAGTATCAATGCCCTTCAGCCAGAAACCACCAGAAACTCAGTTGTAGTTAATCAATTTGGATTTATTACTCATTACAGTGAGGGAGAACACACATCATGGAGAAGCACAGACTGTCTCAGTAAGAAGTTAAGAAAGAACGTATCACAAGATTTGCGTTTAGGTTGAGTGATTTGAGGGAGAATCTAAGGAAGCATGGATGTGCTAAAAATTGGATGTTTGTTGAATCCGGATCCAAGCTTTCTCACCTTCCTGCCTTTTCTCATTCTGTTCCCTCATCCTGTCCATCTTTATCCTTGTCCACTTGTCTAAAATCCAAGCTTAAACGGTCAATAATCATTCTTTATAACACTTTCTACCATTTTATGATGCTTATTACAGTGTTTTGGATACTAAATGAACATAGTACCTTTTTTTTTATTTTAATGTTTACAGCAGCTTTATTCATGATTGCCAAAAACTGGAAGCAACCAAGATTCCCATGAACAGGTGAATGGACAAACAAACTGGTACATCCATACAATGGAGTATTTGTTCAATGATAAAAAGAAATGAGCTAACAAGCCACAAAAAGACACGGAGGAAACTTACATGCATATTTTTAAGTGAAATAAGCCAGTGTGAAAAGGCTACATACCGTATAATTCCAACTATATGACATTCTGGAAAAAACAAAACTATAGAGACAATAAGAAGATCAGTGGTTGCCAGGGGTTGGGTTGGGGAGAAAGATGAATAGGTGGAGCACAGGACAATTTTAGGGCCAAGAAACTATTCTGTGTGATACTGTAATGGAGAACACATGACATTATGCAATTCTCAAAACCCATAGAATAAAACAAGACAAAAATAAATTACGGAGACTATCTAAAAAATGTAAACTATGGAGTTTAGGTAATAAAAACATAATAACCAAAAAAAAAAAAAAAACTTTGCTTGTGAAAGAAGCCAGTCACAAAAGACCACATATTGTGCAATTCCATTTATACTAAATGTCAAAATCGACAAATCTATAGAGACAAAAAGTAGATTAGTGGCTGTGTAGGGCTAAGGAGGGAGAAATGGGGAGTGTCCACTTACGGTGTTTCTCTTCGGGATGATTAAAATATAGTACCTTTTTTCACACACCATTTAGGACATAACACTCAGTAAATGTTAACTATTATTTTTAATACTACAGTTTTTGCATGTTTGTAAGTTCCATTAGGGCAAAACTATGTCGTACTTTTCTGGTCTCACTTCTTAGGGTTTACAAAGCACAGCGGCGAAGGCTGAGCTCGAAAGAGAATGGTGCAAAGGGAGAAGATCCCCGTTAAGCGTATTTTCTCAAAAGCCTGAGAACTCAAGGATTCGGCAGTGTGGAAAGTGAGACACGGAGAGCAGTAATTCGACCAATCAATTCCACGCATGCAAGACAAAGAAAAACTAAGCAACACAAGCGCGCGCAGGGTCCAAACCCCTTTGGAGCGCCTTGGCCACACATCTGGAGAGACAGACGCAAGCGGAAGCTTGGTTCTCACTTCCTGTTTCCCTCGACTCCACTTAGATCGCTACACTACCGAATAGTTGGCCTCCTCCCCCCCCCCACCCCAACACACCAATGGCGTATTCCGAGGACGGGTTCTGGAGTTTGACTACTAATTTCAACAAAATGACTAACGAACACCCCAACCACGGAGGACGATTTCCTTAAGCAGCGTCTCCCTAGGGAGCTTCACCAGTTCTCTGTAGGAGAAGACGTCCAACGTATGCCCGCCCCCACTTCCCCTACCAGCGCTGAGCAGGCCCAAACGAGTAGCGCGCCGCACGTCGCCACGCGTAGCTCTGGGCGCGTGCCCGGCCCTGAGCTCAGGCGCTCGCGGTGCCCCGCCTTCGCCTTCCCATCCGCTGGCCCATCCTCCTGCCCATCCCGCCACTGCGCGCGCTGCCTTTACTCCGGTGTCTCCCGGATGCGCTATATCCCGCCTTCCACGCCGTTGAAGGACTTGCTGCGAGTCTGAGCGCTCTGTTAGTCAAAGGGAAGACAAGCAGGCCAGATTACCTGGGGAGGGAGCTGCAGAGTGTAGCAGAGGCTGCCCTGCACGCCCAGGAGTAGAAGTGGGAGGGAGGCAGAGTTCCTTGAGGGAGCGTGGAGTAAGTGAGCTTGGGTCCGACTCGAGCTCGGGCTCAGGGCCAAGACTGGTCTGCGAGGCCCCCGAGCTGGCGGTACACCCGGCTTGAGGAGGACAAACCCGACACAACGGGACAGACCGAGCAAGGCGACATGGCCTCGCCATTCCTGCCCACGGTGTCCACCATGGGCGACGTCGGCGGAGAACTGAGCTCAGGGGACGACTCCGGTGATGTCGATGAATCCCCCCAGAGCCCTGAGACCGAGGCATCCAGGAGCCTGACAGAGCTGTTCGAGAAGGCTGCAGCGCACCTCCAAGGCCTGATTCAGGTGGCCAGCAGGGAGCAGCTCCTGTACCTGTATGCCAGATACAAGCAGGTAAAGTCGCAGGGAAGGAGTGGATGTGGGAGAGAGACACGGGGGCCTTCTCTTTCCTCCAGAAACAGATAAGAACGTGCATGGTTAATGGATAGATGTAATGGAGTTTGTATGTGTATGTTTGGGTTTTTTTGTGTGTGTGTGTTTTGTTTTTTAGTCATCTGCTGGGGATTAGCATCCTTCTGGGCATGGGAAGTTCCAGTGTACTATCCTGGCAGTGAGTGATATTTAGTTGGACACTGACAGTTTTTCTGCCTTCGCTGACTGGCTCGGTGACCTTGCACGTACACTTCCACGAGCCTTAACCTTTGCAAAATGACGATGATAAAATAATATTTATCATATTGTAATTTATATTTTTAACCTTAACTTCTTTAGACTTATGTTTTGGCTGAATGTTTCTGTTAGATACAATCATAAAAATTTTAGATCTAGTAAAGACCAGATCAAATAATCCCCCCCCGCCTTTTTTTTTTTTTTTTTTTTTTAAACACAAAAGGTAACCAAAGCCCAAATAGTAGGTAACTTGCCCAGGGTCATACCAGTAAATTAGAACTAGGTTTTATCTCCTCTGTCTAAGGTTCTGAAGTTTACTTGGAAATATGTATTGGTAAATGAATGGTTTAATTTGTCACACATAGAATAACTGGTTAAGTGACAAAGACGGAAAAATAATTGCTTTATAAATTAACAAATACTTATTCGGTATCTTTATGAGCAAAACAAGTGTTATGCCTACAGGGAATGCAATACAGAAACAAAAGCTTCTTGCTCCTTGCCCTCAAGAGGCTTACAAAGTACTTGAGGAGTCTAGATGTAAACAAATGAAAAATCAATGCAAGAGTTAAATAACAGTTTAGGTAAACTCCAGCTATTTGGAGGAAATGAAGTTCTGGATAGTAGCCCATTTTATTTTATTAAAAACATTTTTTAACTTTTATTTGGCCTCTTGTATTTTAACTTTTGTTAATGGAAATCTTTCTAAAAGATGTAATTATATATTTCCCCCTGTATTCTTAAACTGAATATGCTAAATAGAGATGAACTTTCTTTTGAAGATTGATGATTATTTTTCTGAATATCAGTTAATGTGACCTGAGAGATATAACTCTAGGTACAAATGGTGTAAATCATAGCGTTGAATGAAAATTGCCCCCCAGACTGGCTTTGGAAGTTGTTTTCTTGCAAAAGGTCTGGTATCTGTTTTCTCTTTGGTCATTTTCCCTTTTCTAACAACGTTAGGCTGAAACTTTCCATTATTTAACAAGTATTTATTGACCATTGTGGCACAAGGTGATTCTCTGGGCAGTATAAGACTAATTTTCTCCAAATTCATTAGAGAACTTTCTTCATTCTTTCTAGAACATATCTTGATTTATTGATGTTAGCATCATCATTATTAAATATCTGATTTCTGAGTCATCAGTGAACTGCGATAACCTGTCAGCGTGTAACCATTCTGTCTCATGTGTACTCACTTCATCCAGATAGTTTGAAGGAAGAGTGATTCTCACCATTTCCAGAACTTGACGTTAGGGTGTTTGGAGATATTCTGTATCTGAAAATAAAATTCTTTATTACTAGAAAATCAGATTATGCTTGATTAGATATGACACTGGGCCACAGTTTTCATCAGTCTCTCCTAAATATTTTTAACAATAGCATCTTTAATAGAATAACAAAGTTGTAAGTCCACTATAGTTCGTGCATAGTGGGTCAAAGTTTCTTGTACAACCATTTATTTAAAAACATTTTTAATTCAGGATAGCACCCTATTTTGTAGGCTGAATGAATGAGGTAAGGTTGTCAGGTAGGAAGATGATAAAAAGAAGCTGAGATACGAACTTTATTTTCTCAGATTAAGCTCTAAACTTACTTAACACAATAGCTCTTTTAGTCTCACGTAAGCCTATGGTTTAAAAAGTCATCTTTATATGAAGTTTCAAAAAGATGAAACCAATTCACATGTTTGTGGTCCCTCTGTGCGTTAGCCTACAACTCTGCCAGCAAAACGTAACTACTGGACACCTGTGAAAACTCTAGGGCAGTGAAAGTTTTAAACTCCTGCCTAATTCATTTTATAGATGCCTACAGCACCAGCACAAGTGAGGATACTCAGCCTGTCCTCCTGCTTTAACCTGGGGACACCTGATTCACTGGCATCTGTCATTGCCAGCCCTTGTTGAAATATTCTCTTCTAAGGGCACTGGACATATCAGATGTGTGTGTGTGTGTATATATATCAGAGAGAATAGAGTTTAGATGCTCTGTTAAAGTAGTACATTTTTAAACTCTGCTTCATAGGTTATGATTCATTATCTAATGATTGGGAAACTGCCAGTCATGACGTCCTAAAATCTTGTAATTTTATTTTCCCAGTCTTTTCCGGGTCCAGAACTATTTATTTATTCATTGAATTTGGGAATTCGAAAAGTTTGTGTGTCAGTTAGCACACAGGGTTAGTTGTTGGTCAGTTGTTGAACTTGTATTTTCATCTCGTATAATGGTCTGAAGGTAGGTGATCTAGGGTCTGCTTCTTGAGATCATCCAGGGACCTAGGCCTATTCTATCTTGTGCTCAGCCATCTCCCTTTAGGCAGCAGTTCTCAAATTGTGGTCCACGGAACCCTGAGAAGCCCTGAGGCTCTCTCAGGGGACCTACAAGGTCAAAGCTATTTTTATAATAATAGAAGTTATTTGCCTTTTTTCTATGCTGTCATGGTGGATAAAACTGCTGGTGTCTTAGCATGACTCAAGATAGTGGCAGCAAAGTATACTAGTGGTTGTATTTTTTTTTTTTTTTAACTAATGCACTCAGTTAAAAGAAAAAGCCAGTTTCACTTAAAAATGTCTTTGATGAAGCAGTGAAAATTATTGATTTTTATTGAATACTAACCCTTGAATACAAGTCTTTTTAATATTATGTGTAAAGCAATGGGAGGTACACATAAAGCACTTCTGCATTATGTTGGCTATTTTGAGAAAAAGCACTAGTGTAATTTTTGAGTTGCAACCTTAATTATCTGCTTTTTTTCATGGAACATCATTTTTACTTAAGAGAAATCTCACAGATAAACTGTGCTTATTCACATTTGGGTGTTTGGCAGACGTTTTGTTGAAGCCTGTCTCTTCAAGGGAAACAGCTATGTAATAGTATTTGTTGTCAGTGGTAAAATTTGAGCTTTCAAACAAAAATTGGAAGTTTGGAAAATCTGTATCCATGAGCTTGACAGCTTCTCAATACTTCAAAACTTTTTTCGATGACATCAGTGGTGATATTAATAAATGTGAACTTTTGCTGTTGTATAATGAAATTTATCGTCATTTGGAAGCTCTGGATAACTTCGTGAACCAATATTTTCCAGATGACCAGTGCCTGGTGTTGCAGAGTCAGGCGTGGGTAACAGATCCATTCAAAGTGCAAGTCAGGCCAATGGACTTTAATGTAACAGATCATGAAAAATTCATTGATGTGATTTCAGATTCCACATTGTAACCAACCCTCAAGTTTTGGCATAGTATCAAAGAATCAAACTGTATCTGAAAAGCCGGTTAAAATATTCCTTCTCCTAATAACATATCTGTGTGAAGTCAAATTTTCTTAATATGCTTTACCAAAACAGCATATTGCAACAGATTGAATGCAGAAGTATACATGAGAATTCAGCTCCCTTCTATTGAGCCAGACATTAAAGAAATTTACAAAATGTAAAACAGTGCCACTTTTCTCACTCAGTTTTTTAAATTTTAGAATATATAGTTGTTTTTTCATAAAATTTTGTGAATTATGGTAATATGTAACAGGCTTATTTTTAGATGAATTAATACATATTTTTTAAATGTCTCCATTTTAATTTCTAATATGGTAAATATTGATAGATATGACCCACATAAACAAAAGCTCTTTGGGGTCTTCAATTTCTAAAAGTATTAAGGGATCATGAGACTAAAAAGTTTTGAGAAGCACTGCTCTAGGGTCGTTTTTCCATGGCCAAGGGTGGCTCACTATCACCACACGCATGTTCTAGTCAGGGCAAAGGATAGCAGAAGACAAGTCTCCCCTTTTTTTTTTTTTTTTAAGTGTAAATAGTTCATTGCTTTTATTTTCACATGCAAGAGGTCAGCATTAACTATTAGCTGTTCCTAATGGAGTTAGCTCTTCGTGGAATATTGGTGACTGAAAGGACACTTGAGAGAATAAACTGAAGGCTTTATCTCTCCCTGTTTAATCGTACAACTAGAATTTTGGAGCTGATATAAGTATCCTTGTCATTAAGTTGTTTTTTGTTTTTTTTTAAAGGAATGTATTTATATCATTTACACACATATCCAATCCCCAGAACCTAGGCAGAAGTTGCATAGCTACCCAACCCATTGCTGTCGAGTCGATTCCAACTCATAGCCACCCTGTAGGTCAGAGTAGAACTGCCACATAGGGTTTCCAAAGCTGTAAATCTTTACAGAAGCAGACTGCCACATTTTCTCTCGCTGCAGAGCAGCTGGTAAGTTCGAACTGCTGACCTTTCCGTTAGCAGCCAAGCGCTTAACCACTGTGCCAACAGGGTGTCCTTGTATGGCCACAAGTAACATTTATCCAGATGGCCATGTGTCCAGCAGAAAATTCTATTAATATAGGAGAAATGGACAACAGATATTGGTATTTGTTTCTGCCATTGGCTGATGTCTGGATAAAAAATAAAAATAGTAATAACTGCTATTTTTATGATGCTTTATATTTGCAGGAAACCCTGATGGCGTAATGGTTAAGTGCTATGGCTGCTAACCAAAGGGTCGTCAGTTCAAATCCACTAGGCACTCCTTGGAAACTCTATGGGGCAGTTCTGTTCTGTCCTGTAGGGTTGCTATAAGTCGGAATCGACTCGACGGCAATGGGTTTGGTTTTTGGTTTTATATTTGCATAGTTTATCTCATTTCAAGTTTCTAACAGTCCAGTAGTTCAAGTGATTTCAGATTCTTTATAGCGTATAAGGCAGAGTGGTATAATAAAGGAATATTGGGCTTTGCAGTCATATTGTTCTGGATTCACATCCTGATTCTACTACTTCTGCTGTGTGGACTGAGAAAACTGTCCTGAGCTTCTCTATCCTCATGTATAAAATGAGTGTATAGTGGCACACCTCACAGGAGAAAAGTGGGGCCCATTTGAGATAATGTATGTGAAGCTTTTGGTCCATAGTGACTGTTCAAGAAATGCAGCTCCTTCTCTCTTACCCTTTTTTCTTTCTGTCTCACATAGCAGGGCTCCTCCTGTGAAGTGTACATTTTAATAACAGCCAGAAGGCCATGTGATTAATTGCTAAGCAGATGATAGAAATGATAATTGTTATGAATTCAGAGATGAGTGAGATCACTGGTTCTTAGGATCTGAGCCCTGAGTGAGACTTGAAGGAGGTTGTAACATTATGAAAAGTTAAGAGAAGGCATTTCAGGTGAGGGAAATAACAGGCGCAAAACATAGAACTAAAAATCCCTAAGGCAGTAAGTAGATCAGTCTGTTGGGGAAAGGGATCAATTTGACTTTAGCAAAATTCAAGTGTGTAACAGTAATAGGAGGTAATGGGAAGGTCCCCAAGTAGTAAAGCAGATCAGATTATAGCATTTAGGATGAGTGAAAATAGGTATTTTTTTGAACACATGTCTAATATAGTCATTCTATATTCAACAAGCATTTATTTATTTATTGTGCTTTAGATGAAGATTTCCAGAGCAAATTAGTTTCCCATTCAATAATTTTTATACCAATTGTTCCATGACATTTGTTGCCATCCCCACAGCATGTCAGCACTCTCCCCATTACCACCCTGAGTTCCCCATTTCCATTTGTCCGGTTTTCCTGCCCCTTCCTGCCTTCTCATCTTTGATTTTGGGCCAGTGTTGTCCATTTGGTCTCACATAGATGATTGTTCTAAGGCGCACTTTCCTCATGGGTGTTATTGTTTATTTTATAGGCCTGTCTATTATTCGGCTGAAAGGTGATCACTGGAGAGTAGCCTCAGTTCCAAGTTATAAGGGTGTCTAATGGCCATAGTGTCAGCGGTTCCTCCATTCTTTCTCAGTCAACAAACATTTTTATTACCTTAAGTTAGACATTGTATTAGGTGCTATGGATGAGTTAAAAACAGCTCCTTAGAAGCACTGTTCTAATGGAAAGGTGAGACTTTACACAAAACTTTCCAGCACAAAGTAGAAAGTGACAAGTTTCATAAGAGGTATATAGTCTAAGTGCTGTGAGATTACTTGCAGCAAAGGGACTCAGGGGCTATATAGTAAATTTGTACTTTCGTGAATTTCGTTTATGCTTATTCACAGTAAGAACAATTACCCTATAGTTGAGCTACAGATGTCATTTGAGGATTATAAATAGATATTGACCATAAACAAGAGAGGATTATTGTGGAATAGATAAAATTTATATTGTTGAGAAATGCTTCAAATTGATTTTGCATGGCTTTTGGCATCTAAACTTATATTGATGAGTTTTATACTAAGCATTAGTGCACTTTATCCTGGAATTTAGGAGAGTTGAAATGCTGATAGTGTTATAAGAATCAGTAAACAATATTATGAATTCTTATAACCGAACTTTAATTGCTTGTTTAAAAATTCTTCTGTATTATAAATGGTAATAAGGATTATATAATCTACATCTCTAATTTGTTTTATATATATAGTTTGTCTACTAATTTAGGAATGCAACTATATGTCACCTGTATTTTTTCTTTATTACAGTATTAGGTAACAGTTGTTTTATGAGCAAGCCAAAGCGTGTATTAAAATTTTTTTTTAAGTTTGCTTTTGCAGAGACTTAAATTTTGTTATTCTATATTGATGTAAGTATTTTCTAAACTGTAGTTACTAAATATACATAATAACCTTGAAAATAAAAAGCTTCTCAGGCATTTCTCTGAAAAATAAGTTCTTGAATTCTTCCCCCCCTCATTTAGGTCAAAGTTGGAAATTGCAATACTCCTAAACCAAGCTTCTTTGATTTTGAAGGAAAGCAAAAATGGTAAGAAATTCTTGGTATCTATAATAAGGTTGTTGGAAATGATTTAGGTGTTTAGGAATTAGAAAGTAGTGAGCAGATTAAAGAATTATTTTTATATTAATCTCTCTCTGCTATAGACTGTATTAATGACAGGCAATTGGGAGAGAGATTAAAAGAATCCGATTTTAGCTAAATCTCTTAAGGGATTCTTATGCCACGATGTTCACAACAGACATACATTCTTTACATATGAATAGCTTCTTAGAGAGCTACTGCTTGAGGTTTTCCTTTCCTATCGTACTGCCCCTAATGGGTCACCACCTCTCCTCTTTGAAGGGATTTTTGGAAGGAGGAGAAAACAACAGATACTGATTCTTACTCTGAATATGTAATAAAGGATTGTACCTCTATATATATACATTTTTTTCTAATTTAAATGCTTCTTCTTAACATTTATGAGGCCTTATCTTCTCATGCCTTGTCTACATTAAAAAAGAGAATTGCATACAATTGGGAACCTTTGTTATAGAAAGGAGGACTTTGGAACCTCAGCCCCGGAATTAAAATAAGTATAGAGGGTAGGGTTAAAAAAACAAACAAAGATGAAATGTGGCTGTCAAGAGAGGAAGTGCTGAGAAGGATGGTTTCCAACTTTACATTCTAAGTAATGCTGCTCAGAGTTTGGTCCTCTGGACAAATTGCCTGTCTGCAAATTGTTACCCATCTGTAAGGAGACACAGAAGTTGAACTAGAATTATATCACTAAGTTTAGTTCAGCTGACTTTTTTTGTATAAGACTTTCTCAGTGAAGGAAGCAGTGCTTTGATTTACATTTTGGTGCAAGCTTTCTTTGTTGATGATAACAAACAGTTCTCCGACACTTTATTGCTGTTCTAAAGAATACCTGATGTAACATTTATGAGGAGTTTTGTTTTAATTTATGAAATTTTAGAGCTTCTCCATTATTTTTTCCTATGTGTTGCTTGTTTCTCCATTGTTTTTAGCAATTAAAAGAAGTTTAAATTTTACAGCCACCATGTTGTTGTTGTGTGCCGTGGAGTCGATTCCGACTCATAGCAACCGTATAGGATAGAGTAGAATTGCCCTATAGGGTTTCCAAGGAGCAACTGGTGGATTTGAACTGCCAGCCTTTTGGTTAGCAGCCTGAGCTCATAATTACTTCGCCACCAGGGCTCCACAACCACCATAGTAATAATTAATTCAGGTAAGAATCATCAATGGATGCTAAAACCATTAGATGAAAAACTATTGGAGAACAATATTTATACAGTCTGATACACAGTTTACTTACTAATTACAAAGGCGGTATCTTTGAGATACTGCTTTTTACCAAGTCGTCAGTCTTATCATTGATGATGGGGCAAACTGATGTCATGTGTCCCCGATGTGATGCATCGTAAAGGACATATCATATATATGCATATTGCTTTTACCAAAATATTTAACCTCATTTTAATCGTGATGAACCATTTTTGGCAAGAGCAGTATATACGTGAGGAAACAATCACAAATCCAAATTGAGGGATATTTGTTAAAAACAGTTTTAAAAAACGTCAACGTCATGGAAAAAGAAAGGCTAACGATACATGAAACTCAGTGCTTTGTGTGCATCTTGTCTGGTTTATGGTCTAGGGGAAGAAGGCTATAAAGGACATTATTGGGACAATAATACTGAAATTTGAATATGGTCTGTATATTAGATGATATTTATTTTATGTTTCCTGAATACGATATATTATATATATATATATATAAAATATTCATATGTATCAGCACGTGTGTATAAAATATACGTAAAGTATTACAATGTATAAAAGTAACTCTCAAGAGAGTTAGTAAAAATAAGTTTAGAAAACCTCGGAAAGGATGTCATATTCATCATAGGAACAGAAAGGTAGTGAACAAACGGAAAAAACTATGGGACTGAATTCTGTTTTATGGTGAATTAGGGAAATAGAGAAACCCTGGTTGAAAGTAGAAACAATTGGCAGGGAAGAACCAAGGAGGTCTATCCTAACAGCTTGTAGAAAAACAGAAAGGTATGACCTAGAAGGAGGCTTAGGACTAAAACATTACTCTTGGTATTTATACTGTAGGAAGTCCCCACCATTTTACTCGTTAGTATTCTTATCTCTGCCCTTACCACCCCTCACTTTTGAAGTCCCTGGCTGAGGCCTCAGGATTTACTACTTGTAGCTTTTAGATGAGATAACGCAGAAGGGGAAGGTGTCTTTCTTGCACCTCAGGTAAGAAATCTTGAAGTATTTTCCCGAGGAATATTTTGTATGATGATTAGTTTCTGAACTACTGATGCCATTGTTGTTAGTTGCTGTCAAGTTGATTCTGAGTCATGGCAGCCCGATGTGTGCAGAGTAGAACTGTTCCATAAGGTTTTCAAGACTGGCCTTTTGGATGCAGATCGCTAGGCCTGTCTTCCAAGGCATCTCTGGGTAGGTTTGAACTGCTTTCAGCTCTTAGTCGAGCACTTAACTTTTGACACCACCCAGGGACTACTGATGCTGTAAGCACAGGTAGTAATTCATAAGATGAGAACTGCCTCTGTTGGTTTATAGACCATGCATTCTCAACAAGGTGAAAATTGGGTTTTAGGGAGGAGAGTAATAAATTCTTAGATACTAAAATAGTTTATAGATGGGTAGGTAGGTAGGTAGATAGCTGTTACCGAGTTTACTACTCATGATGACCTTATGTACAAGAGAATAAAAAAACATTGCCTGGTCCTGTATCATTCTCATGATCACCTGCATGTTCTAGTCCATTGTTGTGGCTGTTGTGCCAGTCCATCTCACCAAGGGTCTCCCTCACCCTCACTGGCCCTCTACTTCACCAAACACGATGTCCTCCACTAGCAGTTGATCCCTCCTGATGCCGTGCCCAAAGAAAGCTAGTCAGACAGTATTCTGTTGTGATCCATAACGTTTTCATTGGCTAATTTTTGAAAGTAGAGCACCAGACCTTTCTTCTTAGTCTTAGTCTGGAAGCTCCACTGAAACCTGTCCACCAGGTTTTTGAAATGCTGGTTGCATAGCTTCCAGCATCACAGCAACATGCAAGCCATCATAGAATGACCATCTGATGGATGGGTGATGGACAGTGGTTTATAGTCCTTCAGATTTAATAAATACGTAGTATATCTGTGTTATTAAAATATCATAAAGGAGGATGATTAGAAAAAAATGTCTAAAAGCCTCATTAGGTAGGGCTATAAGGGGAAGAGGTTGAAAAACTGTTATGGACTGCAAAAAGAAAGGGCTACTCATCTATGGCTTATTATCTCAAGATCCCCAAACCCTTAAAATCTGTATGTAAGTTATTTTTCTTAATAAAAAATATGCTGTTTATGTTAGTTACATAGTTAATGACCGATTATTTTGGATATTCTGTACCGTAGGGAAGCATGGAAAGCACTTGGTGATTCAAGCCCCAGCCAAGCAATGCAGGAGTATATCGCAGTAGTTAAAAAATTAGATCCAGGTTGGAATCCTCAGGTAAGACTTGATGATTGTAAATGATACTTTCTAAAAACATACCATCTTCCTTTCACATTTTTAAAACTAAACTTAGGCATAAGTGACATTTCCAAAGTTTTTTTTTTTTCAATTCAAAAAATTATAAAATTAATGGCAATATTTACCTATCTAAAAATACTATTGCTTAAATATTAGCATAATTAACTACTAACTCTGAGAATTTCTCTGAATTGTATTGAGTTATTAAAAAATAATAATTTCCAATTATGTAAAAACTCAATTCATTTCAGAATTTGAATGAGTTTAACTGGAGATCATCATTGTTATCTTGGGAAAAGGAAAGTTTCTCGAATTTTTTTTTTTTAAATGAGTACCTTGTGTGCAAGTACACAATGCTTGTTGATAGGGATAAAAGATGAATAAGACATGCTTTCTGTTCCTGTGTAGCTTAAAGAAGGCTAGAGAAGGTTAAACATATTAAAAATATTATAATAGTATTAGATAATAACACAAGTGCTAGGGAGTCCAGTGGAAGGAGAGATTACTGTGGACTTTGGAGGCATTGGATATTGTTCATTTAAATATACCCTATTTTTCTTGGTAAATTTATTGGAGAACCTTTAAAAGCATATAGAAAGAATTTTTAAAAGGTAAAGTTGCTGTTTTATTAAAAAATTTTTTTCCTAAATTTTATTTATTTTGCTGTTGTTGAGAATACACAGCAAAACATACACCAATTCAGCAGTTTCTGCGTGTACAATTTAGTGACATTGTTTATATTCTTCAGGTTGTGCAACCATTCTCACCCTCCTTTTGTGAGTTGTTCCTCCCTCATTAACATAAACTCATTGCCTCCTTAGGTTCTTTAAAGTTGCTGTTGTCAATTTGATCCCATATAGATAGCTTTTAAAAGAGCATAATGCTCAAGGCAGACCTTTTTTACTAGTTAAGCTAAACTACTGTTTGGTTTTAAGATGACTTCAGGGGATATTTTTGGTTTAAGGTTTACAGATTATCTCAGGGCAATAGCTTTAGGGATTCAGCCACCCTCCAGGGCTTCAGAAAGTCTGGAGTCTGTGGCAATTTGAAATTCTGTTCTAAATTTTCCCCCTTTTGATCAGGATTCTTCTATAGAATCTTTGATCAAAATGGTCAGTAATGGTAGCCAGGCAGCATCCATTTCCTCTGGTCTCATGGCAAAGGAGGCAGTTGCTCACAGAGGCAATTAACCACACATTCCATATCCTCCTCTTATTCCTGACTCTCCTTCTTCCTCTGTTGTTCCAGGTGAATAGAGACCAGTTATCGTGCCTTGGATGGTTGCTTGCAAGCTTTTAAGACCCTAGGCTCTGCACAACAAACTAGGAGGTAGAACAGAAGCACTAAACACATTATTAGGCCAGTTAACTGGGATGTCCCATGAAACCATGACCCTAAACCTCCAAACCAAGAAACCAAATCCCATGAGGTGTTTAGTTGTACACAAGCAGCTAATTCTTTTTTTTGTCATTGTTGTCAATATATCTATTCTACAATTTTGCCAATTCAACGTTTTATAGGTGTACAAGTTATTGACTGCAGTTACAATAATCGGCTCTGCAACTCTAACCTTAATCAATGCAATTTTTCCATCGCTCTTAAACCCCATTTTCCTCCTCCATCCCACCCCTGGTAACCACTGATAAAATTTGGTCTCTATATACTTGCCTATTCTTGTCTTTTATATAAGTGAGGTTATACAATATTTGTCGATTTGTGATTGGTTTATTTTGTTCAGCATATCTTCAAGCTCCATCAATGGTATAGCATGTATCAAGACTTCATTTATCCTACTGACTGAGCAGTATTCCATTGTATGTATGTACCACATGTTGTTTATCCATTCATCTATTGAGGGGCATTTAGGTTGTTTCCACCTTTTGGCTATTGTGAATAGCGGTACAGTGAACATTGGTGTACAAGTCTCTTTTTGAGTCTCTGCTTTCGAGTCTTTTGAGCATATACCTAGGAGTGGAGTTGCTGGGTCATATGGTAGTTCAATTTTTAGTTTTTGAGGAACTGCCACACTGTTTTCCAGAACAACTGTACCATTTTGCATTCCCACCAGCAATGGATAAGGGTTCCAGTTTCCCCATATCTTCACCAACATTTGTTATTTTCTGTTTTTTTAAATCTTAGCCATCCTAGTGGGAGTGAAATGGTATCTCATTGTGGTTTTGATTTGCATCTCTCTGATGGCTAATGACGCTGAGCATCTTTTCATGTGTTTGGTGGCCATGTGAATGTCTTGTTTGGTGAAATGTCTATTCAAGTCCTTTGCCCATTTTACGCTTGGGTTATTTATCTTTTTGTTGTTAAGTTGTCGAAGTTTCATATATATTTTGGTTATTAGATTCTTGTCAGATATATGGTTTCTGAAGATATTCTCCCAGTTGGTAGCTTGTCTTTTCACTTTTTTGGTAAAGTCTTTTGATCAACAAAAGCTTTTAATTTTTATGAGGTCCAATTTATTTATTTTGTCTTTTGCTGTTTGTGCTTTTGTTACTATATTAGATAATCCATTGTTGAGAGCTAGGCCTGACAGCGTTGCCTCTGCTTGTTCTTCTAAGAATTTCATGGTTTCAGTTTGCACATTTAGGTCTTTAATCCATTTTGAATTTGTTTTTGTGTATGGTGTGCGGTATGGATCCTGTTTCATTTTTCTGCACGTGGAAATTCAATTTTCCTAGCACCATTTATTGAAGAGACTCTTCTTTTTCCATCAAATGGACTTAGCACCTTTGTAAAAAATCAGTTGACCATAGATGTGTGGGTTTATTTCTGGACTCTCAATTCTCTTCCATTGGTTTACGTGTCTGTTGGTATACCGGTACCAGGCTGTTTTGATTACTGTAGCTGTATAGTAGGTTTTAAAATCAGGAAGTGTGAGCCCTCCTACTTTGTTCTTCTCTTTCAGTATTATTTTAGCTATTCAGAGCCTCTTGCCACTCCATATAAAGTAGAGGATTTGTTTTTCTGTAAAGAATACTGTTGGAATTTTGATCAGGATTGCACTGAATCTGTAGATCACTTTGGGTAGTATTGACGTCTTAACAATATTAAGTCTTCCAATCCTTGAACATGGAACATCTTTCCGTTTATTTAAGTCTTCTTTAACCTCATTCAGCAATGTTTTATAGTTTTCTTTGTATAAATCCTTCATGTCCCCGGTTAGACTTATTCGTAGGTATTTTATTCTCTTAGATGCTATTGTAAATGGAATTGTTTCCCTAATTTCCCTTTCATATTTCTCATTGCTTGTGTATAGAAAGCCAACTGATTTTTGTTTGTCGACCTTGTACCCGGCAACTTTGCTGAATTCCTCTATTAGCTCTAGAAGTTTTCTTGTGGACTGTTTGGGATTTTCTGTATCTAGGATCATATCATCTGTGAATAGAGAGAATTTTACGTCTTCTTTTCTAGTCTTGTATTTCTTTTTATTGTCTTATTTCTCTTGCTAGGACTTTTAATACAATATTGAATAGAAGTGGTGAGGGTGGGCACCCTTGTCTTGTTCCCGGTTTCAAGGGGAAAGCTCTCTGTCTTTCTCCATTAAGGATAATGTTAGCTTTTTTATATGCCCTGAATCTTATTGAAGAATTTCCCTTCTTTTCCAGTCATCTTTAGAGTTTTCATCAAGAAAGGATGTTGGATTTTATCAAACGCTTTTTCTGCATCCATAGAGATGATCAGAGCCCTGGTGGCAGAGTGGTTAAGAACTTGGCTGCTAACCAAATTGTCAGCAGTTCAAGTCCACCAGCCACTCCTTGGAAAACCTATGTGATTCTACTTTATCGTATAGGGTCGCTATGAATCAGAATCAACTTGACAGCAGCAGGTGTTTATAGAGATCATCATTTGGTTCTGTTCCTTTGTTCTGTTGATGTGGTGTATTATGTTGATTGATTTTCTAATATTGAACAATCCCTGCATTCCTGAAATAAATCCCACTTCGTCATGGTGTACAACTATTAATATGCTATTGGATTCTGTTTGCTAGTATTTTGTTGAGGATTTTTGTACCTATATTCATAAGAGATACTGGCCTGTAGTACTCCATGCAACTAGCAACAACAAATATATATATATGTATGTGTGTATGTATATATATGTATATATGCACACATATGTATATATACATCTGTATAACTCCCTCACGCATATATATCCTCTATCTGTATTTATATATTAAAAACCACAAGTTCGTACTGATACCTCTAATTCCAGCGTAACACTACAGGGTACACTTTAGCCTTTCCTCTTTCTATATTTGTACTTTTTTTTCCAGCAGAAACCTGCCTCCCAGTATCCTCAGTATATTTATTCATTTTCTCAAGCCCAGAATACACAGAAAGTAGTTTCAGAATTCTAACCTATACCACTTAGAAAAGGAAACTTACTAACTAAAGTTCATTATTTGTTTATGGTTTTTTGTTTTTTTTTTGAGGTAAAATTTATATACAATGATAAGCACAAATCTCAAGTGTATAATTTGATGGGTTTTGACAAATATGCAAGGCAGTTTTCTAAACACTTCGGTGAAACCGGAGAATAATTATATCCCAGTCACCTTGTATTTGTTACCTAATTGACTCACTTGGGAGGTTAAGATTTTTTTAATGTGAATGCCCTGAACTGTGATAACCTTGTTCTAAAGTGGCTGCCTTACGTCTACATCCGTGGGCTTAGATAACATGACATATAAAACAGGACCACTAAACTGTATTTTTCACTCTGGTCAAAAGAAGTGTTTTTACAGTCTAATAAATATATTAACAGTTCTAGAAGAGGACATTTTCCAGATTAAAGAATTAGATGTTCTTCCAGAATTCCTAGCTAGTAACTGATATTTTCCATAGCTCTTTTGAGAAGATTCTTGTTTCAGGGTGACCAGTATGATGAGTACTATTTGTTTTGAGTCCTTTACAAAGGCTTTTGAGTGTCAATAGCAGAATGATTAAATTTGAGCTTCTTTGATA